GGCTTTGCCGCTCCGCAGCCAGGTTGGGGTGGGAGTGGGAAGCAGCGGAGGCCCCGCCGCGGGCCGGAGAAGCCCAGCCCACAGACCTCTTCCTCCATTTGCTCGAGCCGCCGGGTGAGAACGGCCCGCCTCTGACGTGTGCTTGGGAAGAGCTGACTGGTCGCCAAATGGGAGGAGCCCTATCCGGTCCCGCCCCTGTCCGCGTATGCCCCGCCCCAGAAGTCTCTGGTTGGAGGCCAGTTCGCGGGGAGATTCCAGCTTCCCAGGCTTAGAGTGCTGGGGTTACGCCGGCGCCCTCCGGTCGGATTTCTGAGGCCTAGGGAGAGGCGGATGGATCTGGGAGCGTAATTAGAAATTGTTTTAAAGTGGATATATGTGTCTTTTAGAAACACGGAGGCACAGAAGAAGATGCAGGAGAAAACACCAGAATGCGACGAACCAGAGACTAGGAGGCTCAGCCTTTTGATGCCTTTCCTCGCAGTCTGATTTCTCGATGGCAGCGTGTTCACCCCGTCTTCCATGTCGTTCTGATGATGGGAGGGGAGAATACCTGCTCCTCTAGCCTCTCTCAGGAGGGAGTCCCTGACACCACCCAGTGCACCTGATCACCCACTGCACTGGGAGAGCTGGGCCCACCCCTGTCAGCGGGACTCCTTCTGGAGGGCAGCAGGGTGGCATGGGAACCACAGAAACATCCGTGCTCTTTGACCCCATGACTTCACTACGGGGAAGCTGACATTCCAAAATGCAGAGAAAGCTTATACAGCTAGGCAGTGCCAGATCTCTGGTTAGAATCCAGTAGCTTCTACACTAGCATACACATCACCCTCTCTCTTTCTCTCTAACAAGATCAAGGTAACCCTAGCTGATTTGGTTCAGTGGATAGAGTGTCAGCCTGCACACTGAAGGGTCTCAGGTTCGATTCCAGTCAAGGTCACATGCCTGAGTTGTGGGCTTGATCCCCAGTAGGGGATCCCCAGCAGGAGGCAGCCGATCAATGATTCTCTCATCATTGATGTTTTTATCTCTCTCTCTCTTCCTTCCTCTCTGAAATCATAAAGGTGTATTTAAAAAAAAAAGTCAAGGCAGTTTCAGGACCCTGCTGCTGCAGTCGCGGGTTAGTATTTAGGTTTTTTTTTTTTTTTTTTAGTATTTAGATTTTGTTACGGAGTTTGGTCTTGGAGATAATGGTGACCATGTGCCAAACCTTCCCATATTTGTGGGCACTGAACCTGGGGCACCATGCCTTCCTCACTGGTCTCTCCTGCAACGCTCATAGTTGTGATGTCCCCTAGAGGGAGCTCTCAGTCACTCACACTCCTGGGCTGCCGGCCAGGCTTGGGGCATCTGCCAGACTGGTCGTTCTTAGGGTATATTGTTGCCATCTTGCTCACAGCCTTGTGTGAGTCCTTACTTTTCTCTGGGACTGTTTTACAATGGGAACGTAGAGAGGATTAGACCCTCGTGTCACAGGCACCTATGTCCCTGACCCGGCACAGGCAATCGCATGAGGTGGCAGAGAATGTCTCCTCTGGGCCCTCTTGCTTGGGTCCCAGTGTAGCTCCCATAGCTGAGGTGCCAGTTGACTATTTTGTCTTGGGTCCTCATGTGCCAGTTGATACCATCAACAGACCTTTCTTTCCTTCTCTCAGTGTGGACACCGATGGTTCTGTTGTCAGTTGATGACAGTCATGTGTGCTTGTGTGCTTCTGCCTTGGTGCAGGTACCTCCTGCCTCTGCCCCAGACTTGGCACCCAAAGCTGAAGTGACAGTCGAATCACCTCAGTGGTCCCTCATTCCCCTCTGCTGTGTTGGCTGTCCCTCAGTTGACTTTGACTGTCTCCACCTGGGCCCTCATGTGTGAGCACCCAGTGTGAACTGATAGTTGGGGGTCCCATTGGGCCCTTATGTGTCTCCACCTAGTCCCTCCATTCTCCTTTCTGGTGTAAATATGAGTATCTGGGCTTTCTGTTGATGCTGTCACCTGGGCCCTCATATCTGACTTGTGTAGCTACATAGAGCTGAGATGACATTTGAGTGCCCTTATGTCTGCCCCAGTGTAGCTCTCATCACTGGCTTGTGTTGTGTCTTGGGTCCTCGTGCTGTGCCTCAGGGTAGGGACTGAGATCTGAGGTAACACTGAATACCCTCATCTGTCCGTCATACCTCTACCACAGGATGTGAGCCCAGCTGGTGTGGCTCAGTGGTTGAGCATCTACCCATGAACCAGAGGGTCATGGTCCCATTCCTGGTCAGGGCACATGCCTGGGTTAGGGGCTGGATTCTCAGTGGGGGGGGGGGCATGCAGGAGGCAGCTGATCAATGATTCTCTCTCATCATTGATGTTTCTATCTCTCTCTCCTTCTCCCTTCCTCTCTGAAATAAAAAAAATGTTGTGTGTGGTTTTTTTTTAAGAACACATAAAAAAAGAGCTGATGTGAGCCCTGGCTGGGTAGTTGGTTGGTTACAGGGCCCTCCCAGTATGCCAATGCTGTGGGTTCAATCTTCAGTTAGGCCACATACAAGAAGCAACCAATGAGTGCCTAAATGGGTGGAATAACAATCTGTTTCCTCACCCCTCCCTCCCTTCCTCTGGGCGGGAGCGAGGCTGCCTCAGGGCTGGCTCTGCCGCAGCCCCCCACAAAAACCTGATGTGAAAGGTGACTCCACGCATGAGCCCTTAAGCCCCGCTATAGTCTAGGCATCTAGAAGTTAAATGTTAGTTGAATGTCAAAACCTGGACCCAATCAATGCCATGCCTCAACCCCAGTACCAGAGCTGAGGGAGGTGTTGGCTGTCCTCACATGGCCCTTCTGCTTGGTCCCAGTGTACAGATTCGGTGCCAGTTGCAAGCCTTGTACCCCAGCACCAATGTCGCCACCCAGAGCTGAGGTGACAGGTGTCTTTCCTCACCCGAGAGCTGTCACATCTGTCCCAGTGTAAACACACAGGTATGTCAGACGCCTCTCCTCACCAGGTCTGTCACCTCTGTTCTACATTGTAGGGCCCCAGAGCTGAGGTGACATTTGACTCAGTTCAGTGTGTTGGAATGTATTAACCCAGAGATGAGGTGACAAGTGACTGTCTTCACCTGATCCCTCATGCTTGTGCCTCATTGTAGGTACCTGGACTGGAGGCAACAGCTGAATGTCTCTACCGGGGACCTCATGCCTCTTCCCCATTGCAGGCTCCCAGAGCTGACATGACAGCTGGCTGTCCCCATCAGCACTTTCACTTATTTCTTCCTCATAGGCACCCAGAGGTCAGGTGACACTTGGGTGTCCTCCCCAGGGTCCTCACATCTATCCCCCAGTGTAGCACCCAGATCTATGTCATAGCGGATACACCCAGAGCAGGATCAGATGGGGAGGTCCCACAGTCCCTCCTCCCTGCTCACACACGGTCATCATGTGCTGGGGGCTTGGGGGGCCCCTGCTGCTGCCCCTACTCGGGTCCTCCCACACTTCTTGGAGGGGCCCCCTCGGTGATGCCATACCAGCACCTTCCCCTGGGAAGGACGACCCCTAGCACACAGATCTGCTAGGCCCCTTAAAGTCTGTAGTTTTTTTTT